TGCTTGATCCACTTGCATTCCCATTGTGCTTCTTGTTGTTTTCCCACAAGTTCTTCCAAACTTTCAGAGTATTTTTTTCCTTAGGTTTTTCACTTGTGGTAGCACCATGTCCACTTTCAAGGGTCTTATAGAAATGATGCTGGTTCTCTCAAAATTGTGGATTTTGCTGAAACTGCATTATTCGGTTATCATATCGCTTATTTTTTCTGCAATAGCTATAATTCTTTGTTTCAGCTCTTCAACCACAACTGCAATTTCCTTGTTTTCCATATCTTGTTGTCGGGCTAATTCTGATTTTTTTTTATTCTTCAGATTTTCTTGTCTCAAATTCTTCAAATTTCTTAAATGCAATTGAATTTTCTTTATTCTTAACTCCAGATGGATTTTCTACTTTGGTTTTTTCCCTTCTTTTATTCTTTTTTTTTATTCTTTTCAAATTTCAAGCCCAATTCTTTAGTAGTAACATAAGCTGCTGCATACGTTAGCTGGTCTGTTTGAGCTAATGTTTCTTTTGGAATAGTCTGGACAGCTTCATTCACATTCTTCAATATGTTAGCCAAACTTCTCTCACTATAATAGAATAGAGCTGGAAGGGACTTTGGAGGGCTTCTAGTCCAGCCTACTGCTCAAACAGGAGAACCTATACTGTCTCAGACAGATGAATGTCTAGTCTCTTCTTAAAAATCTCCAGTGATGGAGCACCCACGATTTCTGGAGGCAAGCTGTTCCACTGGTTGATTGTCCTCACTGTCAGGAAGTTTCTCCTTAATTCCAGGTTGCTTCTCTCTTTGATCAGTTTCCAACCATTGTTTCTTGTCCTGCCCTCTGGTGCTTTGGTGAACAACCCGGCCCCTTTGCCTTGTGGCAACTCCTCAGATACTGGAACACTGCTATCATGTCTCCCCTATTTCTTCTTTTCTTTAGACTAGCCAAACCCAAGTCCCATAGCCGTTCTTTGTATGTTTTAGTCTTCAGGCCTTTGATCATCTTAGTTGCTCTTTTCTGAATTTTTTCCAAACTCTCAACATCTTTTTGTGATATGGTGACCAAAATTGGCTGCAGTATTCCAGGTATGGTCTTACTAGGGTTTTATAAAGTGGTACTAATACTTTGTGTGATCTTGATTCTATGCCTCTGTTTATACAACCCAGGATTGTATTAGCTTTTTTGGTTGCTGCCGCACACTTCTGGCTCATAGTCAAGTGATCGTCCACTAGGACTCCAAGATCCCTCTCACAATTACTGTTTTTAAGCCAGGTCTCACCCAATCTGTATTTGTGCCTTTGATTTTTCCTGCCTAAATGTAAGATTTTGCTTTTCTCCACACTAAAATTCATTTTGTTGGATAGGGCCTATTGTTCAAGTTTGTCAAGATCTTTTTGGATCCTGAATTTGTCTTCTGGGGTGTTGGCTACTCCTGTCAGTTTGGTGTCATCTGCAAATTTAATGAGTTCCCCTTCAATTCCCTCATCTATGTCATTTATGAAGATATTGAAGAGTACTGGGCCTAAGACAGAACCTTGTGGTACCCTTGTGGTACTAGCTTGATTCAGTTTAAGCAAACAAATTCTTTCCATTTTTTCCATCTGAGTCTTAATCTTCTAGTTAATTTGGCTCTAGCTGTTGGTTCTTCAACATCTAATCCAGCTCTTGTTTTTTGCTCCTCATCCGCTTCTCTGATTTCCTTCCTTTTCTCCACTACTTGTTGCTCCACTTCTAAATTATCTCTATTATCAGTTACACTTGAGGCTTGAACTTGCGCTGCTCTCCTTGCAATCTCTTGCAATTCTGCATTAGTGAATAGCTTGTGCTTCAAAATAACACACCTCTGGTCCATAAGTCTTTGGTCATTGATTTCTATATCCAGGTGATTCTCCTTTCAAATCTTGGACATGCATTTTCAGATCAATAATAAGCTTCCATAATTGAGTAATTATCTTCCTTTGTTCAGTTTTTTTGCTTTTTTCATTCGTCTTCCAGTCTCCTGTCAACTCCATGCCCTGGTTGCCTAGCAGAGGGAGCTGAGCTCTGTAGCATATTTTTCACTGAACACTCAGGACCCATAGTATTTAAGGTGAGTCTTGTTCATCCAGGCGATACTCGATCTGGCATAGAATTCACTTGATGTGTTTTCACCATAGTTAAATGGTTTTGGAGCAAGTTTAGTCAGAGCACACAAATCCCACCACGACAAGGTAAAGCTCCTTAGGGTTGTTGTTGATTTAATCTTCAATTCAATTCACACTCTGGGACTGGTAAAAATTTAACAGTTAAAATCCTCACCAAAGACCTAAGAACTATTAAGATAGCGTCTGAGTATATAGGCAGTTCCAAGTAGGGTATTTTTTTGCAAAATCAGGATATTCAGGACCAATAAGTTCAAAATTTCCATGTATCCACACAGTCCTTTGGGTATTGTTGCAAGGGATCCTATTAGCATTGGTACAACCACTGATTTCCTCCTCCACAATCGCTCAACTTCAATTTGCAAATCACAATATTTTGTTATTTTTTTTCTGGCTGTTTCTCTTCAAATTGTGCATCCCCTACTATTGCAAAATCAATGAATCAGATTTTTTCTTTTCCACAATAGTGATGTCAGGTATGATGTCTGTTTGGATCCAAAAGTCCCACAGGATCTTGACTTGCTCATTTTCAAGAAGTTTGTCAATTTGGTTCCCAGTAATTTTTGCGGCATTCAAAATAAATAATGAGAACGAGAATAATAACAATAATAATAATACACAAAAATGTGAAATCACAGCTACCAGTTCTTTAGCTGGTGTTTGCCTTCATGCACACTGAGTTCTTCTCCAGAACCTGGAATGTCACAATCTTTCTTTTCAACTACAGTTTTTATTATTATGGTTCATTGCAGAATCAGCCAGATATTTAGATTTAGCATTTTTATCCACCTATTGGTCTTTTCCAAGGACATGGGATATTATTGTTTGGTGGTAGTAGTAGTAGGTAGTAGTAGTACTTGTTTGGTAATTCTTAAGCCCGCGTTTCTATTGCATTGCTTTTGGACTCCTGCACGCGCAAGCGCCCATCTACACAAAGACTAACTGCCATTCTCCGTCCGCCTGGTAGCACCTTTTTCCTTGGAGGGAAAAGAGGGGATTTTAGGCAAGTTCCGGGCAAACGGTTAAGGGCACCGGCTTCTGTGCGGCGTCACCTTGTTAATGGGCATGTGCACAGTATTCGCACATGCCCATTTAGGCAAGAGATTGAGCAGTTTTTGCTCTCACACCAGCAAGACCGCTGAAGCCGCGTCGCACCGAGAGAGCCAGGCAGACAGAATCAGTGCGAAAAGAGGAGGGGTGGGGGGTGGGAAGCAGCAGACAGACAGACGGAGCAAGCGAGGGAAGCAAGTGGGAGGGAAGTAAGGAAGGGGGAAACGTGGAATTGCCGAGACGTTTCTGATGCCCGGCATTTGAACCGCCGGATCCTCACTATGCGTTGACAAAGAAGAGCAATCGCTTGAAACCAATGAAATACACAAAACTGTATCTCTGCGCTGCTCCGGTCGGGAAACAATGGGAGCCACGTTCGGCTGCGTACGGATAAGTCCACCTCTCCCAAACGGACTTCTTCGGGGACTCCTTCAAAGGTGAGACTCGAAAACTTTGCCATGCCTTAGGAATCGGTTGAGTGTTCGCTCTCCTCTTTTCCTGGGTGATCTTCCGACACTGATGGGCAGCAGCTACTTCGCTTGGATGGGACGTGCTGGCGGCGCTGACATGTATCTCACCTGAAGGAGGATCCGGTCGTTTTTTAAAGTAATAACAATTACAGCCATCCCAGTTGCGGGATAGGTTCCTTGAAACTGCAACGCCGAGCGAACAAGAAGCTCCGGTTTAGGTATTTGGGCATTGGACATCGGTAATTGGCAGCCAGCAATCGGGACTTCCAGCTAAGTTGCCCACATTGTGTAAGGGGGGGGGGGGGTTGTGTTATCTTATTTAATATTAATTCGGTGCGACCCTCTAGATCCCAGTGCCGGAAAAGAGCCTGGGAAGATGGGGCGAGAAGGCGTTCCTTCGCCTAGTCGCCTGTTCTGAGCCACCTGGGCCATTGACCAGCCTTTCGTACAGCTCAACAACTGTCATGAAAAAGCCGGCAAAGAAACTGCCCCTGAACTCCGGCGGCAGCCTTAGCGGCGGCGAGGGCTTTAAGAAGACGAACCTCTCCCACTTTCGGGGTTTTGACTGAGGAAGGGGCGAGTCTCTTTCCTGGCCTCAATTAGAGGCGCGGGCGGGGGAGGAAAACCATTCATTCAGTTCTGCGGGTCTGTAGTCAGCCGTAGCCCCCGGGTCTCCTCGGGAGCTTCAAGCCAGCGACGGCCTCCGAAAGACCCGGGCTCCCAAAGCTTAATCTATGTGTGGCATTTTTAAAATAAGATTTGCATTTTTATCCCCTCCCCATATCTACCCTTCAACGCTCTGTTCTGTGCGGGCTGCTTAACTGAGTTAGTCAGCAAGTGTGTCTACCGACACCCCCCCCCCCGCCTACACACACACACACACACACACACACACACTTCTGTATTCCCCCATATCTTTCCTGGGTAAACAATTCTCACCCACCCACTTGGTTTGGCAGAAAAAGCTGCCACCATAAAAAGCGGAGAAAAGAAATAGGGGTTGCCATCAATAAGATCTTGACTTCCTCGCTAACCAATCCTCTCCCCCCCCCCCGCGGGCGCGCGATTTTTTTTTTTTTTTTTTGCTCCCGCCGTCTCCCTTTCGGAATCTCTGTTGTTGTTTAAAGTCAGACAATGAGGCGCCGGGAAACTCCCTTCGGCAGCCTGGAGGGAGGCAAAGAGCTTTAGCACCCACCGCGCAGAAAGGGGGAGGGCGGGTTGCCTGCTCGGTCAATTTCAGCCCGCAGGGGAAGCTCCCGCCTGCCTGGGCTCCCCGATGGTTTTGCCTGGGCTCTGGGAGAGCTTCAGATTCCGTCGTGCGCACCTCGCCCTCCTGAGCTGCTTCTGCACTAGAATGTTGCGGCAGGTCTTGCACAGGGGGCTGAGAACGTCTTTCGCTAGACTCGGCCACTTCGTTGCCAGCCACCCGGTCTTCTTTGCCTCTGCGCCCGTGCTCATCTCCATCTTGCTGGGGGCCAGTTTCAGCAAGTACCAGATCGAGGAGAGCGTGGAACACCTGCTGGCCCCCAAACACAGCCTGGCCAAGATCGAGAGGAACCTGGTCAATAGCCTCTTCCCGGTGAACCGGTCCAAGCACCGGCTCTATTCCGATCTGCAGACCCCAGGGAGATACGGCAGAGTCATCATCACATCCTTTGTCAAGGCGAACATGCTGGACCAACACCACACCGATCTGATCTTAAAGGTAAGGATTAGCATTCCCGATGAGTCACCCCTTCTCCACCCCGTTGCTGAAATCCTTTCTTGCCTTCCTGCATGGATCCTTTAAAATGTGTAGAGGTATCTCGTCAGTGGAGTATCAGTCATGTATGCCTGTTCTATAGCCTTCTCTGCTCTGGTCTGCAGTTCATAGTTCTGCAACAGTTGGGTTAACTATGGTTTGCAGAGGAGAATACCTGTACAGATTCCCTCTCCTTTTCAGAGGTGATAAGAGGGAGGGGGGATTGTGAATGAAAGAATGGCACTTCTCTCTCTCTCTCTCTCTCTCTCTCTCTCTCTCTCTCTCTCTCTCTCTCTCTCTCTCTCTCTCTCTCTGCCTCTTGTCTCTCCTGTACAAATTGAGTTAGCGACAACCACTTTTGCTAATTTGGAGTTCAACCTAAACTTCAACATTGATGGTTAACACTTGTAGGTTACTCTTACCTTACTCAAGACCTTCCTTTGATTACATTGGCTATGCAAGTTAATTGAAAATTAAATATAGGGGATGTTTTATTTCCAAAATATTTCTTTCATAGCATTCTAATCATATCATTTTAAAAATTGCTGTATGCTACTTTCACATACACAAATGCAAGATTTGAAATCAGAAGAAATGATTGTTTTTATAGTTTCTTTGTGTAGATATTTAGTGTGTAATGTAATGCAGCAAATTTTACTGAATTGTTCCTGAACTGTATAAAAGGTCCTGCCTATTGCAATATTTTTGTCAATATTTAGTTTGTTGTCTATTTTACAACTGTGTCATACTTTTCAGTACAGATTTGAGATAAAAACATGAAAAAATGCATGGATGGAATCAAGATGAATTAAGTTGATGAAAAGGAATTCTTTTGTGTGTGTGTGTGTGTAATATATATACATACATACATATATAGAGAGTGAGGCTTTGAGCATCCATCTTTACTTTTTAGCATTAAATAACATTTGATAAGCTTTGATGACATACTGCAAAGTAATCACAAACATTTGGACCTTTAGTATCTCTTGCAATGAGAAAATACATATTCATAGAGAGTCCTGCCAGTTCCACTAAAAAAAAACTTGCAATGGAATCCATGATATCAGCCTTTACTGACCACTTTCACACACAGAGAAACACAGAGACACACTGATGTAGCAGTTATAACCAATATTTTCACATGGAAATAAATTGTCAACTAGGAAAACCCTCAGAAATATCAGTGCTTATATTTATTCTGAAAGATATTGCAAGCAGATGTAGGTAATGATTGATTTTTTTCTGGTGTGCTATCTCTAGAAACTTAACTACAATTGTAGCAATAACTATCTTTTCTCAAATAAACAAAATTGTAATAAAAACAAAATTGTAATAACATTAATTATTGAAAAGAAAATTGATTAGTTGAACCTTGTATCATATTCAACATAATCTAAAATAGTTATTGTTAATAAAATAACAGTCAACTATGCACCATTATTATTTCAATACCATCAGCTCTTATACATTGAAGCCATTAGGTACATTAAATGTTATCTCTTGTTCTGTAATCTTAACTGACCAAAAGATTGGTTTAATTGTTCCTTTACTGGATTAGTGCCATGTTCTGCCAAATGTATGGCCTAAGTCTTTGAAAGATGCTGTAGATTTGACTTAAGCAAACAGAGACAGAAAAAATACTGTTCTTGATAGGTTGTAACAATATGATACTCAATTGTGCAGTAAAAGAACATAGAAAAGAAAGATATGAACTAAAATTATAATAACTAATGCTATTAATTGGAGAGTAAGCTACATAGAACAAAGTAGAATTTACTTCCAAATAACACGCATAGGGTTGTGCTACACTTTGTAGTGATTCACATTATTTTATTAGCACATCAGTGAAAAAAGATTCCTTCAGAAAAGATGGTCCAAATAGAAATTTATTGACTATAATATTAAGTTTAAATATAGCTGTCCACTCTATATTTAATATATTTTTATTTAATATATATTCCAATAATCAACAACCATTTCCCCCTTTTTATCAATTTTCATGTCAAAAAAAGTGACATTGGCACCAATGGTGGTGTAACCAAATATTTAAATGTATCTGGAATATCTCAATTGTAAAAGGTGGGAAAGAGGTGGTAAATTTAGTTTACCAAAACCTGAAGTTACTAATGTTTTGCTCCCTGCCCCCCTCTCCCCAGTATTTTAAATTTCAAAAGGAAAATTTCATCTCCCCACTTTTTAGATGTCAAGCCATTGTGTTTTCATCTGATTGACAAATTGTGATATTGGTCCTATAGTTTTGCTTCAGGTCAGTTTCCTGTCGATGGATGTTGGTCTTGGGACATAAGAAAAAACTATATTTGAAGTAATGAATCAGACTTGGCAGAGAAGCGAAAATGCATGAAAACAGCAGCTAAACTATATCAGCCATTGAAAGCTCTCCCAGATCAAGGTAGATCTCAGATACTAATGTTACACCTGCTGCTTATCCTCCAGTGTCAAATAAAAGGCAGTTCTGGAACGCTGGCTGTTAATTTCTGACTTCATTTTAAATATTTCTATGTATCAATTGCTAATTGTTTGAAGATGCAAGAGTGAAGAAATTCCTTTGCATTTATTTTGGTTTTGGGCATAAGTTAATGTAATTAATTTTTAAATGTTCATACAGCAATATAATATCGAGATACATTTTACACCTCCACTTGCAGATGTTTTGGGGCAACTTCTTGGCAGCTGATTCCATTTTTTGTCAGGCAAAATGCTAAAAAAAAGACACTGGTTTTTGGGCAAATCTATCAAGTTACCATTTCTCCTGACAGAGGGTTATTCTAATACAGTACCATAGTTAAAACAATTGAGTTTTTTAATGAATGAATGTATTTCTTATTACAGATAATCCTTGACTTATGACTGTTTAACAATTTTTTGAAGTTTCAGAAAAAGTGACTTACGACCCTTCCTCGAACTTATGACCATTGAACTCCCCTCACAGTCATGTGATCGTAATTCAGGCATTTGGCAACCAATTCACACTGGTTGCAGCATCTTGCAGTCATGTGATTGTGATTTACAACCTTCTGACAAGCAAAGTTGATTGCAGAAAACAATCACTTAATCACTGTATGATTCACTTAACAACCACGGTAAAAATGGTTGTAAAATCAATGCCAGTCATATAAATTTCATTCCCAATTGTGAACATAAGTCAGGTACCATTGTATGTATACTTACTCAGAGGTCTCATAGTGTTAAGCAGAATCTATTCCTTACTTACTAATTAGTGTGTACAATAATATAATTATTTTAAAAAATGGAATCTCAATAGAATTTCTGAGCAGTAGCTTCCCAATGGAACCAAACAGTTAGAATTCACTATTTTGTGACCAGGAAGCTTTTTATTGTTGTTTTTGTTAGAAGCAACTCTTGTATGGTCAATAAGGGTGTGGGGGCAGTTTTGTTCGTTTCTTGTTTGAAATTCATTTTAGGGTATTAGCATAACAACAAAGCATAAAAGAGAGTATAATTGCCCCAAACAATAAGAGATATAATTTGACAACAGTACTTTGAAAATAATTACCTTGTGTAACATCTGTCTGTCTGTCTATCAGGTTTATAATGTTTATTTTGCTTTCCTATGGATCTAAAAGCAAATAAATATTTTCACCCATTTCTTCTTTTAAAGAAACCTAGATCGGGTTTGTTCTACCAAGTGGTCTTCAGATATGTTGAATATCAATTACCATAATTAGCCTTCTAGCATTAACAAGAGTCACCTGCCATTAGGATCCCTTTGTTGGATTAGAAATCTTTATCAAAAGGTGAAAGCAAACATATTGTCTGTGGGAGGTGTATTAAATCTGTGCAATTGATTGTGCTGATTTTGGATCTTCTGTCAAAGGTTAAAACCAAAATTAAAACAAGAGCCCAGTATTTACAGTAAGACTGAGCAGTTTAGTATCAAATATAGGGTGGATTCTTTACAACCCATGAAAGTAAATTTACTTTTCAAAGTAGTGTTTTGTTTTCCTTTGCTTATTTACACACTTCTGTATTACTACCATGATTTATTTTAGCTGCTCTTAAGAAGGGTATTGCAACCTTAGTATTTTTAGACAGTCCATTAGACAATACAATATTCAACCATGACACAAAACCAAACTAATTTAATTTTTGCTTGTTCAGCAATCTGCAAGTATGGTGAAATGGGTATAAGTATTTGAGTAAAATATCACCACAATATATGATTAAGAGAATCATGGATTATCATTAAGCCCAAACTGAAGTGCTATGGTTTGTTATTGAATGGCAATAGAGCATATCCCTGCAATATGTTGTTATAAATAATTTGATTCAAGTGAGTAAACACATATATAACAACTGGCTCTTTTTTGGAAGAAAAATATTGCTAGACCAGAATGAATAAACTGATGTTCAGCCTAGACAAGAGACAGTTATTGGGGGCAAGGACTATGCTGAAAAGAAAGTAGATTTTTCCCCCATGAATGAAGACATACACTTCCTGTCTCAAAACAACACTTTTGCAGTTTGTTATCTTCCTCATCTCCAACTTTATTATAAAACCAACCCTTCAGAATACAAAGGTTAGGGCATTAAGACCTGTTTCTTAGGGTATCCCAGATAATGTACAATGAACATGCTAAATACAAAGCATCTTTTTGTTACAAGGAAGAGTATAGGATCTCCACTTCAATTCAAAAGGTATTGGAGAACTGCAGCAAATGTGAATAGACAGAGAATATTATATTCCCATGGTCTTTTAATCATAAAAGTACAGTCCAAATTTCTGGATGCTGGAATAAATGTTTAGTCACAGTGGACAAATTAAAATTAAATTTATAAGTTCAAGCAATGATAAGCGTGTTGGGGAAAGGGAAAATTACTCTGAGGAATATTGGTAAATCCCAGGAAATCCCTATTTGTCACTCAGGTCAAGGTAATGTAGGAAATAAATGGAGACACCTGTGATAAAACAAAGTGAAAAAGGA